GTTAGCTGGCGTGTTAATCCTTTAAGTGACATTATCATTACAGAGTCAGGATGCACAAGCTGGTGAGAGGAATCACACCACATGGAGAGGGGCGCAGGTATTCAAGACACATGGAACGTTGGATACCTACAGTGGCTGGGAATCTACAAAGCAGCAGACCTTGAAGACAGACCACCGGACAGGTAAGTATACAGCAGTACAGTGGTGTAGTGGTAAGTGCTTCTGCCTTGCAGCACTGGGGGTCCCCGGGTTGTAGCCCGGCCAGGTCACTATCTGCAAGGAGTTTGCATGTTCTCCCTGTGCTTGTGTGGGTTTACCCGGGTACTCCAGTTTCCTCCCACACACCAAAGAAGTTTAATTGGCTCCTGCATGTATGCATGTGAGATAGGGATCTTAGAGATCTTAGACTGCAAACTCCTTGAGGGAACAAGAAGAATAAAACACAGCGCTCTCTCAGGAATGCAGGACGTGCGTGGATGCGCATGGTGTGGATTGCTGCTCAAAAAACAGGAGGAGGACCCTGTGAACGTAATGATGAGGCACTAAGAGCGCAATTTCGAAAATATAAAATGGTGTGATTTGAATGAAAAATTATTTTCAGAAAGTGAAGAACTTACTTGTGGTGTCAGAAGTCCGAGTGCGGTGGCGATTCTAGCGCTGCAGGAAGTGTTAATTGTAATATTGTTCCATTTGCAGTGGTCTCCAGGTGAAGGAGTAGGGGTGAAACAGGACTTGTCCTAGGAGTTGGCCATGGCGGCTGGGAATGGTATCATCAAGTATATTGGTGAGATCAGGGGTCAAGGGCTAAAGCATAGAGCAGATATAGACTGGGTGCTGTGTGTGCCGAAGGGCCGATAGGGAAGCTGCCTCTGGTCTTGGACGTGGTATTTGTTCTAAACGTGATGGAGTGAAAGTGACAGTCGGTTAGGAAGGGGGGTGCACGGGGCAGTGTAACATGAGCAACGCTTTTCGAGGAGATCCTCTTTCTCAAGCTCGAAAAGAAGAAGTGGGTCTTCTTGTCAGCGCCAGAATCGCCACCGCGCCCGGACTTCTGACACCACAAGTAAGTTCTTCACTTTCTGAAAATAATTTTTCATTCAAATCACACCATTTATATTTTCGGATTTGCGCTCCTAGCACAAACTCCTTGAGGGCGCTGTGTAAATTGATGGCGCTATATGAATACCTGCAATAAAAATACAAATCTTCCTTTACAGTAAACAAAGTATCATAAGGGGCAAATTACTCCTCCAAAGCTGGTCCCTTGACCAACAACCTAGGGCTTTGCTCCCACCATCTCTGCTGAAGGGGATGATGAGCCCAACTCTAAGGCTGGCCCTGCGGGCTGAACAAAAACGAAAAAAAACTAAAATTACACCCGATTCCTCCATCAACACTAACAGCGTGTCAATCGAGGAGTCATGCTGTTTACATTGTATTCCGACAGGTGCCCCCGCCACCTGTCAGAATACCCGACCAGAGCAGGCAGCTCATTGGCTGCCAGTTCTGATTGACAGTTCTGATTGATCGAACATTTTCCAACCTGCTCCTTCGATCAGTTGGTCGGGGGACGCCAATCGAAAGGATGACAACAGCGGCACACACTGTGCGAATTTTGGCCGCATTCTCGAAAACCGGCCAAAATGCGAACAGTGTATGGGCACCTTAATCTTCCTCTACAGCAAGAGTCAGGTGACCAAATGCCTATTATTTTGGTTATTAACAGGAAGGAGAATTGTACACCTACTGAATCAGTGGCCCTGCTCAACAGCTATGCCTCTAAGGGCACTCCCAGGGTAACTATATGCAGATGAAAGTGGCCAGGACAAAAACCTAGCAACCAACCATGTAAAATTGCTCCTTTACTGCATTTATGCAAACATGGCAAGAAGAATGAGAATAACGTACTCCACTCCATCTTAACAGTGACATTTCAGGTCACCGTCCACTGGCTTTTTTCATCTTCATATTGGATTTTGAGAACAGCACTGATGGGAACATTCTCTTCAGAAAAAGTAGATATGTAAACCCTTTAATTACAATTAATCTATCCATATAACCCAGGCAGTCAGCAAAGTCTGAGAGTGTGGGAAGGTCCAGAAGGAGATAAACACGAATAAGAAAGGAAGGCAGCTAATTCTAAGTAAGGAAATAAACAATATACAGCAAATACCTCAGAGGCAGAAACATGTAATAAAACCATGCACCTTAGAAATGTGAAGTGGTGAGGACACCAGGGCCCTTAGCTAATATTTCTGCCATGTTGGCTTCCCAAGTTTAGCATGCGCTGGTGATGACAAGCAGATGCGAGTGGTATGTGTTAGGATAACACTCCAGTACAGCTGACATGACAATGCTGACAGCTCAGAAATATACCATCAAGTTCACCACACTCTGCAAATTGAACTAGAGCCGCCACAACCAATGGCTCTGCAGCTATTAGGGAACTACAATGTCCAGCATATCTTGCAACCAGCACGAGACACACCAGTAAAGATCAAACCTTATTTATCAATGTGTAAACCCCAATATATAACAAATGGTCGATATCCATCCTCTACAGCAGTAGTCTCCAAACTGAGGCCCTTTGTTTGCATTTAACTGGCCCTCGGTGCACTATCCCTTCTACCGGCCCCAGTGATGGGGCATTATCCCTTCCACAGACCCCAGTGATGGGGCATTATCCCTTCCACAGACCCCAGTGATGGGGCATTATCCCTTCCACAGACCCCAGTGATGGGGCATTATCCCTTCCACAGACCCCAGTGATGGGGCATTATCCCTTCCACAGACCCCAGTGATGGGGCATTATCCCTTCCACAGACCCCAGTGATGGGGCATTATCCCTTCCACAGACCCCAGTGATGGGGCATTATCCCTTCCACAGACCCCAGTGATGGGGGCACCATTTCTTCTACTGATACCAATGAAGAGGCATTATTCCTTCCACTTGTACCAACAATGGGGCATTATTCTGACCCCCACTGATGCCAAGCACTAGGTTTTTTGTTTTTTTTTACTCCTACTGACCCTGGGGCATTATTTATTCCCGCTGGCCACAATCTTACAGACAGTAAATGGCTCTTTGCAGTGCTGGATAGTAGATCTAATCCCAATCACACACATTTCACATGAACTTTAATATTGCAATGTCTATTCAAATTGAAGTTTCAACATTTTGATATCTGCAGCTTTCATTAAAATGATATCTGGTGATCCTGCAAGGAAGGTCCTTGTTCAGGCGCTTCCTGCTTTATGAAGGAAAATCGCTGTCCCTGTTTTTCCAAATGCTCTTCCGTGTTGTCACCATGTCACACAAGCTTTAAGTGGAAACTTCAGGTGGCCATGCCAAAACTTACCACACAGGCATGTTTTGTCATCTTCACTGTAAGGAAGCCCGTCATGAGCAATGGCACACAGCTGGATTGCATGCACATAGACAGGAAGTGACTGAACAAGTCTAGAGGAGATGAGCACCACTGAGATGCAAAAATAAATACATAAAAAAAAAGTGAATACAGTATCTCCTATGTAACAAAAAACATGGCGATTGTTTACATTACACAGTGCTTTAGCCAACTAAAAGTCATCCAGTTAGGGATCACATCTACATTTAAAGTAGTATTAACTCAAACTTTTATTTCATAATAAATTCAGAACAAATAAGTTGCCCAGCAGAGTATTTCTTTACATTTTCACCCAAGCACATATAGTCATGGTTTCAGAACAGCTCCGACTCTCAGCTTGGCTTCCCTGAACTTCCTGTCCAGTACAAGATTAAGAGGGACAGAACAGACTCCAGCAGTTGCTCTCTCTTTCAGCCCTACTAAAAAACTTAATTCTGCGCCCCAGCAACCCTGCCAGGCTACATTCCCACTGGCACTCCTGTGTTGGTTATTTACACACAAAGGAAGTGATCTAGGAAATGTAAACAAACAATATTCTTCCCGGATCAAGTTTTTCTGTGTCTAGATCTGTCGACCTTTCACAGGTTTAATCACATTTACATGCGTTTAGTATTTCTTATCGGACCCCTGATGCACAGAATTCTTATGCGACCCCAGACGTGCAGGGCGCAGGTAAACGCCCAGTGTGAATGATTTCATTATAAAATATTATAAGTTATTAAATGTCCTCTATATGCCTCATATCTGTCAGTGGCAGTGTGAATGAGGCCTTATAGCTGAGGATAGGTCTGCTTTCAGAGGTAAGCCAGAGATAGAGCACTACTGCCCCTAGCTTCTGTGGGACTACAAAACCCAGCATGGCCTGCCTGAACCATTAAGCACACGCATCAGCTTCCCCCGGATGTCATCACTCATTACTTGCTGAATAAAGTGGATTAGAAAAGTCGCCAGCACACAAGCAAGCTTGCTTCCAAGTGCAAAGCTTTCTTTATTACGATTGCATTGGAGAGCAACATTTGGGGACCGCACAGGGACCCTTCATCAGGTATGGGATGATCACATACTTGAGGAAGGGATCCGAAACATTACTTCATCATGCTATAAATATTACATTATTACATTACTTCATCATGCTAAAACAAGCATGTTGGCGTGCTGGCGACACGTCTTATCCGTGTTATACACCCTGACAGGTCAGGAGTCATTGCAGCAGCCTTTTAACCACATGGCTGATTCCAGTATGGTGTGTGAAAGGAATATACTGAATAACGCAGCAGTCTACAGTGTCATGCCACACTGACTGGTTGCCATGGGTTACTGCACACTGTCAGTGCAGTCTGCACTGCTTCATGTCAATGTGAGTTGGAGCAACTATGGCTGCTCAACTTTTGAGGTGCTAACAGCCCCTGGGGTACCCTGTTTAGAGCAATGGATGCTGTTAGGTGTACTGTCCAGGGGCCCTCCCTGGCCCTCTCCTGTCAGGGTGGGTGATGTCCTCCCTCTGCACACACTGACAAGCAGCCTCCTACAACTCTCATGTCCAATTGTCCCCAATGTCCTCCAGCCCCCTTCTGCCCGGGGCCCCCTCCTCACCACAGACTCTGCCCCTCGTCCTCTTCTCCACCGGCTCCCGCTGCCTCAGCATCCAGCAGCTTCCTCTCCGCCGCCATCTTGCCACTGCGGCCGCCACAAAGAATGACATCACCCGGCGCTGTCCTAGGACCCCGTCTAAGGGCTGTCGTGGAATGCGCCGGAGAGCTAACACGCACCAGAATTCAATAATAACTGGATATATGTGCGCGTCGGAATCGGAAATGTTCCATTCATGTTCCGCTCTTTGCTGTAATAACACGCAGAAGTCAGAAATAATTGTACTTTATAATCAGGCAATAGTGAAGACAGCTAGAGTGTCTGGGTCTTGAGGCGGGGTGAGGTCATGGTTTGAGGAGACGCCCTGTGCCTACACTGCCACCTGCTGGTCATGAGGTGGTACTGCACGATAAGATGTAATGATATTACTGTATGATGTCACTACTTATATTTAGGCTTTTTGGTGATGTATGAAAGAGTCATTGTTATGGTGCCCCAAGAGACAGCCTGGGTGAAAATAAAGGCAAAAATTGCAATAAATTGTATTTTTATTTATCAGATCGCTTACTTTTAGTCAGGTTTCTTTTTACACTACAATCTCTTCCAACTGGTCCATTGTTTCTCTGCATGGGTGGAAAAATTCAATTTATTCTCATGCAGTGCAAACAATAGCCAGCCATAGGACTGAAAGCAATCATTACAAAAAAAACATTTGTCGGGTTGACCAATCATCTTTTTGCATAATAATTCTTCATGATAATCATAAGGGAGATTGTCCTTTGCCAACATACTTTGTGTTATAATGTGTCTCTCTTTCACATCTCAGAAAGCGGGGATGTATGCCTTATAACAGGAAGTGCCTTAACAAGGACCCTCATGGCAGGATCACCAGGTATTATTTAAAAGCTGAAGTCCGCGCAGAAAAACATTAATTTAAATATATTTCTCAATATGTGTATCAAAATAAACTCACTTTGTGTGCACCAATTGCCTTTGTACAATTACATCATCACTATGCTGTATTAGCCTGAGCAGAGCCACGGGAGGGACCTTGCAGGCTCCCACCCACTACACGGTGCCTGCGAATATGTCAGGGTATTTCTATACAAAATTACATAAAACTGATGAACTATGACTTGTACAGAAAACTAAATCAAACTTTTCTGTACACTGTCAAACAAGGGTCCAGAAGTCTGTGCTGGACAGATAAATTAATCAACCAAAACAGCCTATTGTGTACAAAACTAAGCAATGAACAAACAATACAAGGGACCCTTGAGGAACCAGCTATTGTACTAACCAACTAAATTCAAAGAGATAAACATTGCAAATGAAGTCTAAGAATTTGAGTAACCATGGAATCACAATTGACGATGCTGGAAGACCTTTAAGACTTCAAGGTCAGTAAATAAAAGAAATGAAACAAGAAAGACCCAGATTAAGGATATCTTTGCCCCATATGAAAAACCAACCAAGAAACATAAAAACTCCAAGACAGCTAATTCGCCCTATTGTTTCAAGATTGATATCACCTATGATTATTGTCTGAGGTTGAGTAAGTTCTCAAACACATCCGAGATTTACTCAACTGAATGCAAACGATATGAGTGAATCATACCAATCAACTACCATTTCTGAGCCGATCAATTGGAAGAAAGTAAATAGTGGTTGGGGAGTCGCCAATACGAACAATGCTCTCAAACCATATAAAATACCAAGGAGAAAGATGAAAAGAAAAAAAAGGGGAGAAGAGAGCTCTGAAGAAAACTTCCTGGATATAACCAAAGGACTGTCACTGATTCACCATCGCTAAGACTTAACCCTTGCTGCCTAAAACGAGCCATCATATCATCCGATAAGACCCTGAACATATTTCTTTTGAAGGAGTGGTGAGATATTGATTATGTATGAAAAATCAACTTTCTTTATTCCAAAATTATAGAGGTTACATTTTATTATTAGTGTTTTTGTTTACAATTCTAATTAACAGTATGCAGGGTGAATTATTCTGATAATTTATCACATCTTTTTCTATTATTGTATTGTGTATGGTTAAATTGGGTACAGATTTGTATGTAACTAGTTTGCTATTGTAAGTATACTAGCCTGTTTTGCTTGTTGTCCCTATTAGAATAGTAAACCTATTATCTTCAGAAATCATTAGGATCACAAGGGCATTTTTACTTTGAGATATGTTTCTGTCTTTCCTATGGCCACGGAGAGTCAGAAACAATCTTAAAGGTGTCTAGTTATTTTTATTTTTTTTCTGATAATTTATTTACATTTATTTCATTGATTGTGTGTTGGACCTGTAATCACCAGTTATTTATGTTTTGTACAGAAATATATGATTATACTCGTATATTAATAAATTATTTTGATTTATTAGTGTAATTGGGAGATATTTATATATTGTGGTAAGAAATCACCATAAGCTCAAAGAACTCAGGGAAGTGGTTTGGTGTGTATTATCAAGTGTCTGAACTGAATTCATACTGGTTGTTAAGTTATTTATTATTTGCCGTAATCGGCTGGAGGCACTGTCTATTAAATCTAAGTATAATTCAGACACCACCCTATTATTAATATTTCACCAATATTTGATACCACTCAATCACGACAGAAAACTACAGGAGGGGGCGGAGACAGGACCAGTCATTCTGCACAAGCAGAGAAAGCAGCAGTGACTGGTCTTTATTACAGGAAGTTCTTACACAGAGATGAAGTTTCACACTGGATTACTGCACAGATGTGGAAGAAATACACAAAGCTCACCAAGGTTCAGGGATACACATGACTCTTATATTTAGACAATGTTTACTTATCCTGGAGTTCAGCTTTAATAAAAGCTGCAGATTGAAAAACGTCGAAATAAATGTGCAATTATATTACCATTTTAAAGCTGATATGAGATATTAGGGATCGGGTTTACATATACTTTAACAGATCTGCAGCCTTACCCACTGATTTAAAAAAATCACGGATTGGCTGGCCTATTATATATATTTACAATTACATGTTATCATATCTCTAAAATAGCTCACTGGGCCAATGCAAAGTGTGTATGGCAGATTAAAGAGAACCTTCAGCCAAAAGCTTTCATTTTGGATAGAGGCAGGCGGGATTTTCTCCACCAAAACTTTGCCAGTTTTCAGTGCTCTATGTGGCTCCCTTTCCCATCTGTCCTAAAGAGAATGTGGTCACCACGACAGGATGTGAGGGGCAATCTCCCCAGTGAAGCCATAGACAAGCAAAAAAGAGATAAACAACAGTGGTTCCCAAATATAAAAAGAGCAACATGATACTACAACTACAAAAACAGAAATATGAGTAAGAAACCAGCAATATAAAGAATACTGTAAATTAAAACTGAACTCCCGCCTTCCATTTTTTCCCCCAGCTGCAGCAGCTATGTTGAGCCTTCATTTCCTGTCTGAAGGACCTTTGTCATTCTTCAATGACTTCTCCCTCTGATCCATACAGCAGACTGTACAGCTAAAGTCTGCAGCACCCATCATGCATGGTGAACCCAAATAGGGTTCCTTGAGACAGCATGGCTGGAACCAAGGGTCTGAAGCTGGCCATGCATGTGACAATGTTAGCCACTGAAAATGGCAAATACAACTACAAGCATTTGCCAGAATTTAGGGCAATCACCCACGAGTTTGACTGACTCCCAGAATTCGGTTGATCGTGAAGTCAAAACTAGCAATAAATTGACAACTTTAATACAGTTTATTGATAAATTGAAATGGAAAAAAAAGGAAAAAATGGAAATTTAGTCTAAAGTAGATGTATATGATTTTGACAAAAAAATAAAGTTGAAAGTTCAATGATTCTATTTAATTTTAACTTATATGGTAATTATTGGGTACACGGTCCCTACACCAGATTAGGAAGCTGTTGACACTTCATTCATGGTATAGCTGTGCTTTCACTTGCTTTCATCATGACTGTAATAACCGCCATCAGCCTTGAGGTGGCGCTGCATCTCCTGGGATAGAGTGACTGTATCACTGTGCTGCAGTTCTAATCAGGACCAATATTCGGAAACTGTCCTCCTGGGGAATATAACAAATTGGCTGAGCTTACATTATAATGAATAGGTCACATATGAATAAATCACTGGTGCTGCTTAATAAAGATGATTCAAATCAGCTAACAATGGGCAGAATTTGTTAAATATATAGGACGTGAGCATTTTTGCCGCTCTGAATGGATGGATAATGAACGGTAAACTGTGAAAAATGTATACAAATGTATAGTGTGGTATATGGCTCACCATTAATGTAAACCTGCCATGAGCAAAAAAAGCCATTGCTGGCCTCCCCCAGCTGGACACACAGTGCAGGAAGAGAATCTAGCAGGGAAGAATAGAGATGGTATGTGTATCCTGTGAGTGGATGGAGACTGGAGAGGTAAGCCAAAGGGAGTGTGCGAGCCTGTACTAGCGTGGCTTTTAAATCTGAGCTCCCAGTGTTTTTGTTATGCCTGAGGTCTGCTAGAGCAGCCATTCTAAATAGGGATGCACAGATACTTTTCGAGTACCAGTGCAGATACTTGGGATTTTCATGAGAACTACCAGGGTTGCAGCGGTTGCAGCGGGGACCTGGCTCTGGTGGTCCACCACTGTCCTGAAATCATTAGTCTGTATTGTTTCAGAAAAACTGTCACATGACAATAAACAAAAATGTATCAGTACTCGTACTTGTAAGTACTCGGCAAGTACCAGTACTCGTACTCGCAAAACTGGTATCTGTGCATCCCTTTATTTATATTTATAAAAACAATATCCTACATTAAAACAGAGATGTACAAATCCCGGGAGCTCCGTGTGCGCCTTACAAATGACAGCTGCCTCCTAATTTTTTTTATTTTTCTCTAGTGTAGTCTTGGAGCTCAAAAGTATCGGTACATGTACTCGTGCTTGTACCGAGTACTGTACTTGGTATCTGTGCAACCCTAATTCTAAACCTTCTTACCACGGAGGAACCCTTGAAATATTTATTTGGTCTGTTCAGAAACCCTGCAATAAATGATAACGGTATATCTACAACTCACAGCACATCAGCTTGATCAGTAAGTTGTAGATATAATACTATACACAAAATAATTAAAT